AGAGGGGGAGAAGGGGGGAGAGAGAGAGAGAGAGAGAGAGAGAGAGATGCCAGGCTCCCATAAACAACCAGATCTCTGCGAGAACTCATAGAGCGAGAACTCACTCATTACCCCCACACCAAGGAGAGCATTAATCTCTTCACAAGGGATCTGCCTCCGTGACCCAAACAGCTCCCAACACTGCTACATTGGGACAAGATTTTGACATGAGTTTTGGGGGGGACAACATGTCCAAACTATCACAGGAGAAAGAAAGTGATAAGGAACTGGAGAGCACACAGCAGGCCAGGGAAGTAAGAAAAATGTTTGGGAAAACAGAGCCTGTCTTTCTCTCTAGCTCTTCTATCGTTCCTGAGGCCTTTGCCATAATCACTTATTTCAACAAAAAATATTTCACATTTGAAAAGAACATGTAAGAGAAAGAATACTGAATTGGATATTAGGAAACATACTAGGTTCTAATCCCTTTCATGTCACAAACCTACTATGTCATCAGGGGTGTTTTAACCTCTCTGGGTCACAAGGAGGGAAAGAGAGAAAGGTGAGGATACAGACGGGTGCACACAGTATCCAGACCAGCGCTCCCTCCAGCGTGCTTCAGGGGTCCTCTCTCCTGCCTTGCCACAGGCCCAGCACGCCTCCACTGTGGCTGAGTTAGAGATTCGAGAGCTTTTTGTCACAACTCAGAAGCAGGTCCTTAGGTCCATTTACCCAACTGAGTAGCGGGCCACCTCACCACCAGTATACCCCCTTTCTCTTCCTGCTGCCTCAGCCCCACACCCTGACGCCACCCTTCATATTCCCCAGAGCCTCCTTTTCTCACCTGCTGTTGGACACTGGCCTCTGTTGCTATTGTCCCAACCTACAACTGTCAGTTGCCAATCCCATCCCCAAAGCCATCAACCGTGACTAAAAAAGAGATCCCACTACCCAGGGAAGAAGTTAGGATGAACCAGAAGAAATCAGAAAGCAAACTTCTCTTCCTATTGCTGAGGTTTTTGTTATAAGGAATGGGAGTTTCTGGGATACAGCAGAAGCTCTAAAAAAATGTGTACTAGTGAACAATACAGCATTCCCTAACCAAACACTTAAAGCTATTCCCCGAGTTACATGACACACATAAGCTAGTTCTGTATTCCACGTGCTTATGATGGGATAGCTTTTCTGTAGCTGGCCTGGGGACCTCGCTGCCATGGGGTATTGTTTCCATAAGAAAATGCTGCCCGAGTGGCAAACAATTAACTTACTAATGACCTTCATAAACTACCTTTCCTTCCTCAGGCATGGCTTGTAAAGCAGGGAAATGGAAAAATTTCTAGGCAAAAGAAGAAATCAAACAGAACCATCCCTGGCTGTAACACATTTCTGCACACAGATATGATCATATAGAGATGCACACACATATATACAAATACGTAAGGAGTGAGGTGGTAAAAGTCAGTCACTAACCAATCTCTCACACACACACATGCATTCATCACTTTCATCTTCTTTAACAGCACGGGTCAGCCGCCACAGATCATCCCCAAAACTACAGTTTACTGTGAGAAGGGGTTTCAGTAGTGGTGGGAATACCGAATACACACAGAGGAAGTGCAGAACACGGGGTAGCACCAGAGCAGCAAGAAAAACCAGTGCTTGGAAAAGAACAAGACAGTGTAGCTCCCTAAAATACTCATTTCCAAATAAGACCCTCTTTAGAAAATAAAGAATGGGGGCTCCTACTTGTGGCTCGGAAGTCGCGGAGCAGGTGAATGCACTTTCCTTTAGAGAGGGTGTCCAACGACACTCTGAGAGAGAGGATCAGAAAGTTCTACATAGAGACAAGTGAGCAGGGACCCAAATGGAGAAGCCAGAAAAACTGCGGATGGAGACTGCAAGGACGGTGTATGTGGAGCTGAAGTGCTTGGCCTGCCAGGCCAGTCACAAGGTACCGTGGGTCCTGAGACAGGAAGGTGGACTGAACAGTATCAGTGCTGGGCTCTATGAGGGCATCATAGGCCACTGCTCGCATGTTCCACGCGCATGCCATCACTGGTCTGACAGTTTCCAAATAGCTGGCACGTATGTGGCACCTCAATACAAACTCCGATAATGAAACCAGACCTGAAGGAAGAGACTCAGAAAAGAAGCGGGGCGTAGTGCCTCTGGGCTCCGTACAAGTTGACTCACCTCATAGAAGAGTCCCTCTGGGAACTGCTGGAAGCACTGAGCGCACACGAAGCACTGCTCGTGGTACAGCTCCCCGTTGCTGTTCACTATCTTCTCAGCAGGCGCAAAGCCCCCTCTGCAGCGCTCGCACGTGGCACTGGCCAGGGCATTGGCCATATTGCTGTAACACAGAGAGGACAGCAAGTCACAGACTGTCAACCTTTTCTTAGACTCAAGACCAAACAACATGAAGAACTAAAAGCAAATTCTATCTGATCACAAAACTATATTTTATCTATAAAGCCCAGTTTCTCGCTAGTGCCTGAATTACTAGACTTAGATCTCAAACTGTCCCAGTCTCTTTACTCTAGCATCTTGGGTTCTAAAGGGCTTCTGCTTTGATTCTGACAGACTGTGACATTTTGGCATTCTCCTCGCTACCTACACTATGAGTGAGAGCCTACTATGTGTTAGGCACTAGGTAGAGAGAAGAAGGTCAAGAGTCGCCCTAAGGGAGCTCCAGTTTACAGCTTGATAAGTAGCTTAATTAAGATATCCACCAAGTCGGGCCGGCCCGGTGGCGCACTCGGTAGAGTGCGGCGCTTGGGAGCACGGTGGCGCTCCCGCCGAGGGTTCGGATCCCATATAGAGAGTTGCCGGGCGCGACACCGAGGGTTGCGATCCCGTTACTGGTCACGAAAAAAGACAAAAAAGGAAAAAAAAAAAGATATCCACAAGTCAACATCTCAAAGCCAATTTATTTTCCTTCTGAGAAGTAAACTACATGTCAACTGAACGCCATGTCATATCCTAGACACAGCTTATTCCTTTAATTAGATCCCGTCAAAATCAACTGCTTAAGTACTCTTAAAACCAGCCAAGATTCCCCATTCCCATTAACTAATTGGTAAGACAAACACTGAATACTAATATTATAAAATATATCTTAAAATCATAGAATTATGCATTATAAAAATCATTTTACAGACAATGAAGCAGTGGTTCAGACAGGTTGAGTGATCAGCCCAACATCATAAAGCTGATTAGTTCATGGAAGGCACAGGATTAGAATCCAGACCCCCTGCTCATACATAAAATCACGATGTCAGTCACAACAGATTACAATACTAATTTCAAACACTTGAAAGGATGTGACACGGACACCACCATGTTTACAGGACAGGAAAGTGAAACCAGGAAATCAAGTAACTCCTGCTGAGCCCAGTGACTTGGGTAACTCCCTCATCAGTAATTCCACTGCACCTTAAAACAGACCAAAGGTATTCAATAAATGGTCTCAAGTTCTCTCTACCCAGTTTATTTTTTAAATTTTATTCATTTATTTTTATTTTTTATTTTTTTGGCAGCTGGCTGGTACAGAGACCCAAATCCTTGGCTTTGGTGTTGTAATGCCACGCTTTAACCAACCAAGCAAACCAAATAGCCCCATTGTGCGGTTTAGAAGAAGAAAAGCAGCATGGCTTTGAAAGGCTTATATTAGATGAGGGTCCACATAAACACCTGTTTTGTTTCTGAAACGCCCCCAAGTGGAGAAGGTCCCCTGTGCACAGCGGTCTCTGGTCAAGCCGTCCCTGGTGATTTGAAAGCAAGTTTACTTTCAGAAGCCCATGCAGAGCACAAGGTCTACCTGCATGTCTGGTCCCCTGGCACAGCTTCTGACACCCCCAGATACCACCTCATAAAGTTACTGCCAGAACTACCACCATTTTACAGACAGATTAACTGCCTTGCTGCTAACAGTTTCCAGGTTTTGCTGCTTCCTTAGCAAAAGTGGTCACACTTATCCAGCTTTGCCTCTCCTCCACCCCCATGGTAGACAACTCTGCACTTTGCCTTCTTCCCCCAAATGTTTCGAGGAACAGGATTCCTATTTTGAAGCCTTGCCATCAATAACTGCACGTACAAATACCATGTTCATAAGCCCACACCAATCAAAACTCAACATTATTTAACAGGCTTGAGTATAGAACTGAAACAAGGAAAAGTACATGAAACCACATTAGAAACCAGAAGATATAAGGCACTCAAATATAACGCACTATTAATTCTATATCCTCTCAAAAGATTTACCAAATCCTCAGTGATCTCACTGAAACTCCAAAAAAAGCTGGAAAAGAAGAACATTCTGGAATGTGCTAGTTCACTGTCACCTAAATCAGTGGTTCTAAAAGTGTGAGCATCACTGTGACCCTTCAGGCGCCTGAAAGGTCCTCCTTTTTCCAACTACGTCTCTGCGGGAGGCCATATATTCTTTACATACTGCATCTGAGACAACATACTGTAATAGCATGAACACAGAAGCAGACATAGGAAACTATCTTTTATGAAGGCAGAAATTAATGAGATTTGCAAAAATGTAAAATAATGCTACTCTTCCCACTAAGCTTTTTCCATTTTGGAATAGTTATTTTTCATAAAAATATTAATTAATGTAAGCTTTATTAATATTATTAACATGTAATAAGCTTATTGTTATTTTTAAACGAACTAACCGATATTTAAAATTTTCTCAGTTTTAACTTCTTTTTTTTTTTTTTTTGTCTTTTGTCTTTTTTTCCATGTCCGGCAACGGATCGCAACCCTCAGTGTTGCCCCCGTACCGGACCGGGGACCGGCAACGGGATTGCAACCCTCGGCGTCACTCCCACGCCTCGCTCAGCCAGTGAGCGGGAACCGGTCTGTACGTGGGATCCGAACCCTCGGGCGGGAGCGCCGCCGCACTTCCCAAGCGGCGCACTTATCCAGTGCGCCACCGGGCCGGCCCTCAGTTTTAACTTCTTATGCAGTAAATATTGATAAACAAAAGCCCTTTGGGGACCTCAGCAATTTATAAGAGTGTAAAGGGGTCCCAAGATTGAAACATTTGATTACCACTGACCTATTCATTATACTCTAGACTATATTCAAGTTCAATTTCTCAAAATAGAATTAGAAAACAGGTAGACACATTATAAAAACAAGCACATAGTTACTTCCGACATACAGGGGAGGAGAAACTAGTTTTAGATATACTATGAATATTTCAAGAAGTTTTCCTTTTAATAACAATCGGGGGTTAGGTTGGGGGAGGAAACAGAACATTAGAGGAAACTTTCCAAAAAAATAATAATCTCCCCATTCTACACAGCTATTTATGTCTTCCTTTCCCTCTTGTTTCTGACCCTCTGACAATACACATTTTCTTAGCTGACTTTTTATATAACACTACATATGATAGAAGTTATTTATAAAAAGTCATGAATGACAGCCATAGCTGTCATTCAGTTACTTATAATTAATTGGCTTATTATTCAGAAAAAGATTTTCACTAAAAAGTGTTGATGATAAGGAATATAAACAAGGGGGAATATATATGAGGGTATTGCAAAAAGTTCATGGAAAAATAGAATTAAAAGATAATACAATTGGCTGGCTGCAAAATTAATTAATTAACTTAAAAAGATAATAAGCATCTTTCCATGAACTTTTTGAAATACCCTCGTAAGCCTTTAGTACAGAATCTCTATAATTGGCCAGTCATGTCTGATTTAGCTGACCTACTTCCACACACCAAGCTCACATGGCAAACTTGATATATCTGGCTTTCCACTATTCCAGTGCCTCATTTGTCATAATATGTGAAACAAATTTTCCGGTCTTTCTAAATCCAAAACCCATCTTGAGAGTTCACCACGCAGTGGCAATATGGGTTACAGAATTATAATTCCCCAGTTAGTCTCACCTCTCTGTGAGTTGTGAACAGAAATGACATCCATTGCAATACCACACAGGATGGATTATGGAAATAGAGAATCAGGTCAGTTAGATTCTCCTTAGCTCTTACTTGACAAATTGGGATTTGGAATAATTCCAAGTTTTCAACTTTGAATAAAGTCAATAATCTTACTGGAGTTGGTCGAAAGGCCAACACAAAAAAAGAAAAAAAAAATGTTTGCTAAAACCCATTTAATAGTATAAATTAGGCTAACTTTTAGAGTTAAGAGCATGTTCTATCTATATCTATTTGCTAGTTACATATAATCCTTATTTATTCAATCCCCTAGAGACAGTATTGAGAAAGTCAGCTTACTTCAAACTGCTGATTGTTAAATGTAACAAAAATGTTTACCAACCGTCTGTAATTCAACCTTTCGGTTTCCTACCTCCTGCTCTTTATCTTTGGGAAGGTTTAGAGTATAAAATTTTACTATTATAAATAAGTCCTGACAACAAAAACCCTAAACTTCACTCATAGATGACATAATAAAAATGCACTGTTTTCAGTATCAGGAACCTGCTGAAGACAAAGACTTTATCCTCCGGCTGAGAAGGCAGCATTTTCCTCCGCGGGCGCATGTCGTCCAGTGGAAGTTCTACATGCAGAAGCAACCTGCCTGCCTCCCTGGAATGTGCTGCACTGGGAGCCACCTTCAGAGCCCCCAGATTGCCCTAGAAAACACCCTCCCAAAGCCCAGTAAATAAAACCACATCAGCCAGGTCAAAATGACCAGTGAGCAGACAGCCAAAGGGTGTGAGGTCTGGAAGAGGGGCGCTCCAGGAGAGGAGACACTCACAATTTCGCATAGAAGTCACAGAACTCCTTGTAGACTTGGACGTCACTGTGCCTGCGCTGCACTTTGGACACGGCCCTCTCGCTTTCATTCCCGTTAGCCCCGTCGGCACTGTTAAGGGCTGTCCAGGGGATTTCTTCATTCTCTGGGATAACAGAGGGTCGCACTGGGCTGGGGAAGGCCATCGTGGATGTTTGAGAGCTCTGAGCCCAGGCATGAGAGCGGCAGGACGCAGAGACAGGAGAAACAATATCCAGACCTCCCCCGCTTCCTAGCCAGCGTCACTCCCACTGTCCCCACACACATCAGCCGGGCCCTGCCAGGGACGCTACTGGCGCTTCACGTTAAGAGCTCAGCAGCACAGCACTCAGTCAGCAGACCGGCTTCCTAGCCAGCGTCACTCCCACTGTCCCCACACACATCAGCCGGGCCCTGCCAGGGACGATACTGGCGCTTCACGTTAAGAGCTCAGCAGCACAGCACTCAGTCAGCAGACCAGATTTACTGAGGCTTTCTGCAAGTTCTAGAAAATATTCCACAAAGTAGTGACACAGTCTTTGTCAGAGCAGCCTTCCTGGTGGACTGCGGCCATACACACGACTACAGGAATACGGGGCTGCTTTGCAGGCCTTCAGGAGAAAGAAATATCCATGTGCCCTGAGTATTTGTCACCAGGCTTCCATACCAACGCCATGCTTCTCAACTTTGGTAGGCATAAAAATCTTTTGGAGAGCTTGTGAAACACCCACTAACAAGCTCCCTAGCGAGGCTGATGCTGCTGGCACACTCTGGGGGCATCTGAACCCTTCCCTGATCTGGGCTCCCACATTCCAGGGCCTGACTGCCAGCTGTGCCCTAAGGCTGCCTTTGCCCAGAAGTCCCTAAGCCCCTGAAAGTAGCAGCTGTGTCTGACTTTTATTATCTTCACTCCTGATACTCAGCAAGAGTCCAACAATGGTTTCAATGAATGGATGCAAGTGGAAATAGGAAAGAGCTGGGGTTTAATTACAACGCTTTCTTTGATGGCAGCTAATCCTATAACTTAGGTGAGCCAATGTTTCCTGGTCTTTATCATGACTAAGAAAGTCATTACACACTCTGGTGTTCTTGCTGTATTCAGTTCTTGGTGTAGTTGTGTTAGCACTGACAATGGTGCCGATGTAGCACCAGGGGCAACAAAAGGGCTGAATCTTTTTCAGGTCTCAGTCCTCCAGCACAGTGTGCCATCCCACCAAAGCCAAGAGAAAGACGGAACTTCTGAAACAAAACCTACAGCACAGGCACAAGGCATGCGACGGACAGAGCAGGTCACAGGAGAGACCAGAGAGCCGTGAGGCCAGCAGCAGACAAGACACAGTGGAGACTCTGGAGCAGTATCTATACGTAATGATACCTAAAAGTTAGTAAGTGCTTCCTATCCGCCACATCCCCAGGAGGTAGTCGGTATTATTCGCGGATGAGGAAATTAAGGGGAAAAGAGATTGAATAACTAGTAAATAGGTGGTGGAGTCAAGATCTAAACCTAGGTAGTCTGACTCTAGAATGTTAACCCTATGTGAGAAAATGGTTAAACACAATTACTGGGAAGCAAATAAGTTACCTAGAAAAGATTAGACAGTGGTACAAAATGGGACTAGAAGCAGAAAAATCAGACCAAGTCTTCCCACTATGAACCCTAAAGATGTCAGAGTATGGGTCAGAAACTCAAAGACTGTGGACTATGGATCCTGCCCAGGTCCAAAGCATACAGCTGAGGAACAAGGGAATTGCCATTTTTAAATAGCAAGGACATACTGTAGTGGATTGAATTATGTCCCCCCAAACTCCCTGAAGCTTGAATTGTGTCCCCCAAGCTTTAAGTATTACAAACTTAGCCCCCACTGTAACTGCTGAGGGTGGTAAATCCTATTATGGTAATTGAAAGGTGGGGCCTTGAAGAGGTGATTGGATTGTAGGACCATGCCATAGTGAATGGATTAACAATGGTCATCAGGGGCGTGCTTCTGAGGGCTTTAAAAGAAGAGGAGACAGTGTCTCCCTCTCCTCTCCTCCCCTCTCCTCCCCTCCCCTCTGCTCCCCTCCCCTCCCCCCCCTCCTCCCTCCTTCCTCTCCTTCTCCTTCCACCATCTTGTATTGTGAGACCCCTGGGTCACTGTCGTCGCCACCAAGACCCTCACCAGATGTGTTCCCTGGACTTTGGACTTCCGAGCCTCTGAAACTGTAAGGAATAAATTTCATTTTTCTTATAAATCACCTTGTTCCACGTATTTTGTTATAAGCAACAGAAATAGTCTAATACACACACCTTAGAGTTTGAAGTTTTTCCCTTCTATTTATCAACATTTCCCAGTTTTTAGATTTCTTTTTTACAATGGCCATGTGAAACAGAGAGGCCAGGAAGGAGAAAGAGACAGACTGAGGCAGGCCGACACTGCGGCCAGAAGCACGCTGCACCGAGAGGGCGGCACGGCAGGAGGTGGGGGCTACACGTGCCTGCTGCCCAGAGTGCTCCTCCACACAGCGTCCCCAGTGTCCACAGCCCAAGTGGCCAGAGTCTGACCTTGGCACAAAGTCTGCCTACAGGTCTGTCACTCCATCACATTTGTAGACTCCTGTAACCACCATCCCTATGAAGAAACAGGACTGTCCCATCTCCACAGAGACCTCTTTCACGTCATCCCTATAGTCACACACGCCTGCCCTTACCCCACCATCCCTAACCTCTGGCAACCACTAGTCTGTTCTTCATCAATATAATTCTGTCATTTGAAGAATGTTAGATAAACAGAATCATGCTGGATACGATGTCTTAAGATTGGCTTTCTTCACTCAGCATAAATCCCCTGAGATCCATCCAAGCTGCTATATGCAGTCATGTGCCACATAACTATGTTTCGGTCAGGGATGGACCGCATATACGACAGCGGTCCCAAAAGATTATAATACTGTATTTTTACTGTACCTTTTCTGTGTTTAAAAATGTTTTTATACACAAACACCACTGTGTTGCTGTTGCCTATGGTATTCAATATGGTAACATGCTGTATAAGTGTGCAGCCTGGGAGCCACTGGCTACACTACGTAGTCCAGGTGTGCAGCAGGCTGCACCATCTAGGATTGTGCACGTGCACTCTGTGATGTTCGCACACTTACAAAGTCACCCGAGGACACATTTCCTCATCATTAGTTGAAGCTTGACTATATACCCATAGTTTGTTCATTTTTATTGCTGACTACTGTTCCATGGTATGAATGTATGGTTTGTTTAACCCTTCACCCACTGAAGAACATGTAAGCACTTTCCAGTTTTTGGCTATTGTGAACAAAGCTGTGTACAAGGTTCTGTGTGAATGAATACAAGTCCTCATTTCTCTGGGATCAATGTCCAAGAGGGAAACTGCTGGGTTGTATGGAAAGTACATGCTTGGTTTTTAAAGAAACTGCCTGTGATATTGTGATTTACAGTAAAAAAAAATTTACAAAAAAAAAGGGTACTTCAAAACGTTCGTGGAAAAACAATAGAAAGATATTATGAAATAGTGTCCAGCTTGTTTATATCTGGTCTCTGTCCTGACCAGCTCTTGAAACTCTTGGAATCTCTGAAGTGAAAAGTGTCCTTTGTAAGCTGATGAGAGGACTGGGGTCTGAGGGCTCCCGGATGGTCTCTGGATGGGGCTGGTTGCTAATGAAAGAAGGTGAGGAAAAATTCCTCTTCTAGTGTTTGAAGGAAAACTGTCCTGGTTTTACTCCCCAGAGGAGAGTGGCCACCCAGGAGTCACAAGCAGGGTACCCCAAGGGACAGGGCAGGCAGGTCCGTCTCTGCACTCCACTTCAGTGTCCACAGCAGGTCCTGAAAGTACTTCACAGCACCAGAAATACTGTGCCCATAATAGGCACAAATTGCTCCAAATAAATGACTCAATGACTCAATCTTAACCAATTTAACAAGTATTGACAGGCTACTTAGCTCAACCAACAAATGCTCATTGTCACACCACTCTTCCCCTATCTCCATGACACTCTCTGAGATTAACAGGTCTACTTTGCCCAGAGACATTCTGAATCAAATGCAGAGGAAAAGCAACAATGCTCAGGACTTGTGACAAGACCCCTCCCCATGCACACACACAGAGCTGACTTGCTGCCTGCAACTAGCCATCCTGTCTCCACGATCGTGAAGACATTCTTACCACACAGGAAGCCTGTCAGAGAGAGAAGAAATATGAGACAGGGAAACCGGGAGAATGTGCACCAGAAGGCACAGTTACCAATAGCAGGACACCAGTAAGTGATTTCAGCCACGCGGCAGCCTCAGTTTCCATAAGCCTGCGTGTGTGGACCTGTGAGCACTCTGGGACAGGATCACAGCACTGTGCTGTGTGTTTTGGTTAAGTTTAATTTGCCCACCTCGATCAGCCCAACAGTAATATAGCTTATTACAGAAAATGTGTAAAAGGCAGAGAAGACTCCTTCATATTCCTGCCACACAGAGACAGCACTTTAACATTTTGATCTCTAATCATTTTTAAATACATGTACATGTATTTGATTTTAAAGAAAAATGGGGCTATTGTAAGGTGGCTGTTTAGAATTATATTTAATAGCAATGACCAACATTTATCTAAAAGGGCAGAAAATTCTTTGGATGAATACTAAAGTGACTTTTCTCCTGCACTTTCTGCCCATCCGAAACCTGCCCAGTCCCCAAAAGCCTACTCCAGATCTTCTGTGAGAAGCCTGCTCTGACAGTCCAGCCCTTACTGATCTGTTAAGTGACTACGGCACTTGCTGTACATCCCATACAGTAAACGGGCAGGGTTTTAGTAAGATTTGATATTGTGTTCTGTACTATAAAGGGGCTCTTCATCTCCTCAAGAATACCATGAGCTACTGAAAGTAAAAACTTCTACGGAAGCACCAAGCACCCTCAGTAAGTAATTAATCCAAATGGATGACTTGTGCGATGTCGCCAGACAACAGGACTGGGAAGGGCATCTAGCCAGGGCAAGCACAGGGGCTGCTCCCTCCCCGATGCTCAGAAGGCTCTGTCCAGCTCACCTTCTTCAGCATGACTTTCTCTCCTCAGTAAAGAGAGCTCACTACTCAACGAGAACCGCCGCAGTCTGAAATCTATGCACGCTATCACAAATACTCTCTCATTGGAACCCCGTGGTCACTCAAATAAAGAGTGTTTGGTCAATTAAAAAAATTCTTA